CTCAGGTCCCTTCCAACCCTACAAACTATGAAACTATAAATTGAAGCACTGGGTCTTTAAAAACACCGCTTCAATTTAGGATGAAGTAAATCCTCATGGGTGTACCCAAGGGTCAGACCTGACCCTTACCTGGCTCTCTGGCAGCAGGGAGGGGAGGGCAAGCTGCTGGCAGACCAAGTGGTCCCTGGGGTGAGGGGAGTGGGGGAGCTGGTGCTTCCCTTCATGGCAGCTGTGGCACCCCCCTGACAGCACCCACCCACAAGCAACCGGCCTGAGCAGTCCCAGAGGACACCGCAGCTGCGAAGGAAAGCACCAGGCCCCCATGCAGCTCAGGCAGGCAGTCTTTGGGGGGGAAGGAGGGGCAGAAAAAAGATCAGGCTCACCGCTTTTTTTCCCCTTCAGTAAAGCCTGCTTGCACAGGCTGCCACCAGGCTGCCTGCACGGGTTACCTGCTCAGCCCCTGAGTCCCCAGGGGACAGCAGGGCAGGCCCTATGAGAAGAGGCCCTATGAGGAGAGGGTCGTTTGACCCAGTCCTCTTTCCTGCCATGGCAGGGGGTCGGACTAGATGATCTGCTCAGGTCCCTTCCGACCCTAGAAACTATGAAACTATGAGATGCACAAGGCCTGGTGCTTCCCTCCATGCCAAACTGAACCAGATAAATAAAAGGCAGAGATATTCTATTTTCCTTCGTCCCCAAGTCATGTAACGTGCATTACACAGCCGACATATGCAAACAACCTGCCATTAAAGCGTATTACACCACCAACTCATGCAAACAGTTGCACCATTAAAGCGGTGCAAAAGGGCATTAAGCCATTTTAAAGGCCAATTTTGTGTCTTATGCAAATGGCCTTTGTCTTGTGTTTGCACCCTAACTTGTTGACAAAACTACTACAAGGTAATTAATCCCAGCTACTTTCCATGATTGCCATGGCAATACAAAGTATATGGAGTACACAACTCTACTTCTCCACATTCCTTTGCACACAACCAAATTCTTCTTTGTTCCATATCTTCCATGCACCTTTTTTTTTCCCCAGGTGGTACCATATATAAAGGTATTCAATTCTGGACATCAGCTACGTTACAGAAATCCAAAACTCTACAAACCACATTAAGAAATCACTTTTGTTGGAAATGCTAAAGTATATGATGGAAAGTAAAGTAGTAAATATATCTGTAATGAATTAAATCTAAAGACTGTACCTTGATTCGCCGTATGCTAACCACTGCTTCAGATGCTCTCTCAATAGCCGCAGGGAAGAAGAGAGTTACTGTCAGTCTTACTGCACCATACAGTGACACCGCAACAAACACCCGACTTGCAGAGATAACATTGCCAAGTAGAACATATGTCATGAAAGTCATAAAAACTGTTATTTTGCTTGCAACAAAGAAAGATGCCAAGTTCAGTCCTCGAAGGTAGGAGCTTTTAAGAACCATGGAAATTTCCTTCCTAAAAATGCAAAACAAAATTCACCAGATTCAAAAACATTGGTACACTACATCATTCATAAGGCTCCTCTCTCATGACTACTGCTTTCAACAACACAAAACACCTCAGTATCAGTAGCAGCATTTTATTATTAAGTACTAGAATTTGTTTTAAATCCTTTGTGATGCAGGTAAAAAATGGACAAGCACTGACTGAAAGAAAATGTTGCGCTTGGGAAATACAACAAGAACAGAGACTTTCAGATAAAGATGAGAATAATAGTCAAATACAAGATTCTTTAGTTTGAGCTATAGCAGGGTAATCCACCTGGCAGCTCACAGAACCACAGGGGGAGCAAATCAACCACACCTTTGTGGCACCAGGGGGAGGGGCTCACATGTCAGCAAGGGTTGGGGGTTTATGGTATTCCCATGGTAGGAGAGCTGCAAGCAATAAGAGGCCTGGGCCCATAACTTGTGCAGCATGCAGCCTCTGGCCACTCTGAAGTTGGGAAGCCCTGAGCTATAGAAAAGGAAAGTGCCAAATCAAAGACTATTTTATTAAAAGGTAACATAAAATTAAGTATTATCATTTATCAGGATACTAAGCATCACTATGAACTGTTCTATTTGCCAACAATTTTAAATTCTTCACTTGTTCTTAGGTTTTTTTTTTCATGAGTTTTCTTCCAGGAGTAAAGACAAATATATTCAGTTACATAGTCTGAATATCCAGAGACTCTCTCTCTCACCATTTGCAATATCAAGTAAAGTTAATCATATAACGCCTATTAAGAAATAAAACAGTTTAAAAATGATGCAGCCTTGAGCTCATCGGTGATCTCACCTATGAAGATAAGCTCACCTATGAAGTGTTGGTTCAAAATAACCATGTAGTTGGTTAACTGTCTAATCAGTTGCTGGCTAAATCATAGCACCTTCAATATTCCCTATTTTTATTTTAGATTTTCCATCTCTATAGGCTTAGACCTCTTTTTCTAGCTTTTCCCTCTAGGAGATGTAGGTTCCCCTACTGGCAGGCTGGATCTGTGACCTCTATACCAGTTATTTTGCCAGCCACTATGCCAGCTAACTGGAATTTAGTAGGCAGATTTAGCCTGTTCAGCTAATGTGCCTCCCTGTAATGACTTGAAGGCTTTTGGAACAGATACTTTTTCAAACTTGAAAGCTCTAAAAATTTAACTTTAATTGCCAATTGTAAGATTAGTCACCCAGTCTGATCCTAGCTACTCTACCCGAGTTCACAATATGGGATATGAATACCAACAATTATTCAGGCAGCATAAACAATTAGCGTATGACAAGGGTGATAGTTACTTTGTTCTGCATTTTCTAATTCCAGCAAGATTCTGCTTAAATTTATTCATACCTATTACTATTTTTTTCCAGTTTATTTTCTACTAATTAGTGAAATTCTAATCAGATTGCTTTCCTTTGGGACCTCCATTTCAGGGTTAGGAAGTCAAGTTGTAGATCATCCCACATAAATCTAATGAATCTGTCACTTAGAAGAAGGCTGTTCTTCTACAGAAGTTAAGGAACTTTCCCACTATAGTTGCCAAACTAGCTGTATTGACAGACTTTGAAAGAGTTCAACCCCCTCCCACCAATTTATGAGCTCACAACTGCTGGCCTATAATCCAAAGTACACTGTCAACAACATTCATATACAGACTACTAGAGCTAGGCCTAATCCAATTAGTTTCTAAATTCCTAAATGAAATGGTTTCCCATACTTCATTAATCCTTAATAATCCTTTCTGAAATCCATAGAAAATGATGGAGTTTTGTGTGTTAGTCCTTAAAAAGATAGTACGATTCTCAGATTATTTGTATTGAACTGCCTGACAGTACAAAGTTAAATCAAAAGGTTGGCTTCATGAGAGAAACCAGCAAAACAATGGCAAGGGTAAAATGCTATCTTAAGAAATGCCAAGGACCCTTGAAGAATGAATGGTGAAGCTCCAGACTGGGAAAAACCCCTTTCTACTTCCATTCAACCTAGAACAGCTTACTCTTTTCAAGGCTAAGCTAAGTATCCTTCCTATTGATTTATTATACTACAAGACTGCAAGTGCTGGAAAGGGGTGGGGATTCAGCAAGTTGGGAGAAGCTTTGGAGGGAGTGTTACTGAGAAATGAAGAGAAAGGGATCCAGAAACTACAGCAAACAGGCAATTTGCTTCTTCCATCCTAGAGGTGGAGGTAGCTGGGAGATTGCAATGAAGGAGTAAGACAGGTGTTGGCAACATTTTCTGGGTAGCATGACCCAGCTCAGGTCTAAGCGGGGTCAGTGCTAAGACCCAGCACTTCTCCCCACCACCCAGCCATGGCACGCATGAATGAAACTCTCTCCCACCCAGTGAAGGCAAACCCCTGTATCTCTCTGCCAAACACTACCAAAGCCCCAACTCCACAGGCCAGATCTGGCCCATAGGTTGCCAACTGCTGGATCAAAGTATGCTCCAGTTGCTCTGTACTTTGGGCAAAAAAATAAATAATGCTCTGTTTTGAATCATATTAGTCAGTCTCTGTCAGGCTCATAGAGTCTGCTTTAAAAGTGCCACATTTGGCTGGCCTATCAGGTTGCCATGGTGGGGAAAAATAGCACTGTGGCTGAGAAATATAGACCCAGAATAACTGAATCCCATGGCCACACACTTCAGAAAAATCTGAAAGCCAGGCCTATCACTTAAGGAGTTCATACAAGAGATACAAAAAGGGATCAAAATATAGCATCTGCAGGTTCTAAATTTATAGCTACAATAAGAAAAAAACTGCTTCCACATACTTGTGGTGAAAGGAATTCTGCAAATTAAGGTATGGAGATCTAGCTGAGATGGCTGGGGGGATGAAATTCTTTAGGAATAGAGAGACTCAATGTATATTCACACTTAGGTGAAACAGGATTCATAAATATCAAAGGAATTGTTTTTTCTGCCCTTAAGAGAAACTTCCCTCTTTATGTACAGATGAAGTAAAAAACTACAAAGCTATACAAGGGTTTTTTTAATGAAATCCTTGCATTTTAAAGCAGCAAAGAAAGTATTTAACACCCAAAAATGCATATAGATCAAATATCCAAGCCTAACTTTCAGTGCAACACTGATTACCTTCTTATAGTGTTCACAAGATCTGCAAATGCTTTTTCCCAGGCATACATCTTTATTATCTTTATACCAGTTATGACTTCATTCATGGTCCTTATCCTGACATCTGTAAAGGCTGCCGTTCTGCTCCTGAAATTGATAGAAAAATTGCAGATTCTTAATTAAAATGACTTCTGTATTACCTTAGGCTGCATGTGGGCATTTAAAAACAAAACAAACAAACAACACAGTGTTTTATTTTAAACTCGGTGTGCTCCTGCGCATAGGCCAGTGCATGCTCAGAAGAGGCAGTCCATTAGTTGAACCAGCTTGCCCAACATCTGCATAGACTGGATGCGTTAGTGGTCGTTGATTGTAACCATGTTGGTCTAAGGACACAGGCAGATAAGTTCTTTGGACAGACGTGATATCTTTTATTAGACCAACTGAATTGCTGGAAAAATTGTTCTTTGCAAGCTTCCAGGCATAAACCCCCTTCTTCAGGCATAGGTTGTTTGTACCAAAAATTTGCAAAGAACAATTTTTCCAACTATTTAGTTGGTCTAATAAAAGATATCACATCTACCCAAAAAACCTTGTCAACACATTAGTGAGGCTTTTTCAGTTCTTTTATCGAATACCTGACTGAATCCGCTATTAGATAAAAGCACCATAAAGCGCTGCTGAAGCACCCAGTCTAAACATATGCTATGGAGCTGAGTCAAAGTAACACACCAGTTCTTCTGGTAAAGCGTGTTTTTTGGAGGGATTTTTGTTTTTTTTAACATCTGAAAGAAGCAATAGTTTACAAATTAAACCAGGTTTCTCCCTATTTACTAAAAAAAAGGACTCCTATACTGTAAGGCTATATTAAATATAGCCCAATATTACCTGAGCTGCCAGGGAACTGACCAGCATTTGCATGTTCCAGAATTCTTTGTACAAGACCAATCACATGTATTACTGTGCACCTATATGTGTGATTCTATGCTCTATTAAAGAAACACAATATTTCTGCACAGAAAAGAAAATTTCATTTTAGCCACCATATGAACAATGGCCAAGAAAAGTTAAGCTAATAATGAAAACAGGCCTCAAAGCATGACATACAGAAGAATTTTTCCCATGCTTTAATAGACAAGATTTTAAAAATATACTGGGCATTCAAGTAGCAAAACAATTTGGTTTCAAAATATCAAGAGACATCCAGGATCACATGCTGAGGCAACATCTTTCTGTAAATACAGAGCAGGAAAACAGAGGCTTTTGAAGGTATCATAGAACAGAATTAAGTTAAATTCCTGCTGCTACAATCTCTTTGTGAAGCTCAACATTCCTTTTAATACTAACATGTTTGTTATCATTAGACCTGTCGAGGAAACTCGCATCAAAAATAACGTTTGACAAACAAAAGAGAATTTCAAGGGGGATTTTTTCAGTTTTCGGACCCTATCCAAATAAAAAACAGTCTATGCTCAGAGTAGTTGGCATGTCAGCAAGGTAAAAAGGCCAGTTCCTTGAAAAACAATAGTATGATATGATATAAGGACATCCAGCCCATGGCCGTGGCAAGGTTGCACACCCCAGCCCATGCCAGAAAAATCCTGCCAATGTCTAATTTAATAAATTTTAAAAACGTGGTTTAAGTGTGCTAAAAACACACTAAATTCATTTAGGTAGAGGGATAAAAGAGTGTGCCTACTTAGTTATTACACCAGACTTTGTTTTGACATCTCATACATTTTATTACTAAGTAATTTGGTATAATTTCTTAACTCAGCTTTTATTAAAAACAAAACAAAAGCCTGGCAGCACTGTTTGGAGCACTGGCACAGAAAGCACTAAAGGAAATTGCTGGCATGTCCATTCAGCCCAGATATCCTGTTGCTTTGTCCATAGTAGTGCTTCAACTGTTGTGGCTATTATAGGCATTGCAGAGAAGAGTGAACGGCTGAGAGAATCCATGGCTTGTGGAAACACAGGAACGCCACTGTGGTGCAGCATGCCAGCATAATATAAGATAACACTCCCCCATGCAGTGCAGTGGCAGGGGAGAGGGAAAGGAAGAGGAGGGGCACATGGCACAGCATAAAGGGCATGCACATAGTATGGTGCATGAATGGAGAAGCACTTACTGCACATACCATGGAGGGAGTACACAAGGCACAGCATGCAGGGCACAATGGCCTCAACACAGTGCAGGGGGTCGGGGGCCAGTGACACACAGCCTACATGGCATGTAGTCCTGGGGGCAAAAAACCCATGTACCATTTGGCCAGGGGGCCTATAAAAATATTGTTCCATGAGCTGTGGTGGAATTATCCCAGTTTTTAACAGAAGATTGGGCCACAAAAAAAAAGATGACAGCTGTAATCATAAAACATGCACAGTCTAGGTGGCAATGTTGCTGGCAGTGGAAAAAGTATGGAGAATTTTCTTAAATATACCTAAATTATGCAAGACGGAAGACTTCTCATTTGTATTTTGTGCTGCTCCTACATATCAAAACATGACAGCGTATTCTGATGATGGCTAGCCCAACAATCCCATATAACAGAAATCATCTTCAATTTTTCTTTTACAAACAACTACAAAGTTACACTTTCAAAGAACCTTTAATGAGAATGCTACAATTGCATAGTTAAGGAATAAGAAGTCAGGAAATCAATATTAAAGGTTACTCATACAACCTTGAGGTTTTTCATTGTTTTTATTTATTATACAGTCTTCAGTTTCATAATCAAACTTCTTAAATAACACAGTATATGCCATACCTTTTGTACAACTTCTTATTATGTACCACTATCTGCACTACTGTATAATACTGTATACCCAAAGGGTATAGAAGTCATTTATGTGAAAATTACACTGGTCTTATTCCTACTCAAAATGCTCCAGATTAACAGTCCAAATCCTGCAAACATCCACACACTTGAAATTATATACTGAAGACAACAGTACTTTTAAATGAGTCCAGTCACATGCACAGGTATTTGCCACTTTGGGGACATGAGCATAATGCTGCGAAATAGTGGAATAAAATATAGCTGGCATGCGTACCCCAGCTAAGACTGCTCTGAAAGCCCTAATCCTACAATTAGCTTTGCCCACACAGTTCCATAATGACTTCCATGCTTTCATAGGCACTTGCAAGAGAAGCCTATATTATCTACTCAGTTGGTTGCTTCATTCTTAGAACTATAAATAAAAAGAGCCACACACATGTGTGCAGGCAAGCATTCTTCCTAGTTAACAGGCTACTTTTAACTTAGCTACATTGCACCCAAGGAAATGGCTCCTGTCAACTGGGGAAAAAAATGTAATAGTATGTGGCCACTGACTAATTATTAAAATACATACCTTAAATAGAAGACAGTCTCACTTCGTTGTATGACCCTGGGCAAGTCACTTTATGTCTCTGAGCCTCAGTTTTCCCATCTGTAAAATGGGGATAATAATGCTTAGCACTTTGATATCTATGGATGTGAGCACTATTTAAGTGCTAAGTATTATTGGTATGAATATAGAAAGCCTAAAGCAATTATTTAATATAGTTTTATCACAATGTATCTGCATTACGTACCTAAAGTTGTTGGGGAAAATCATACTTTTAGAAATTCTATTTGATCATGTAAAATGAAGACTGTATCATGAAGACTACATACAAGAAACAGTTCTGTGAGTAACTCCAATATTGATTCTTCCACACTTCTGAAGGTTTAGCCATGCAGTAGCCATGCCAGTTTGGCTATGTTCCCAATATTCTACCTTCAAATCAATTTTAAAAAGAAATGAAAGCTAATACTTCACAACGCAGTTTTATTCATAATAAAGACAAGGCATGAAAACATTCACAGAGAGTACACCCCCAAGATGATCTATAGCAAAAAGGTGTGCTCAAAACAGAAATAAGAGTGAACAGATGAAAAATAAACATTTCAGTAAGACAAAATTAGGTATCAAAGAGTTTGCACCCATAAAAAGAAAGGTTATAAATTCTGAAAGCAGGGTGGAGGTTTTTTTGTTTTTTGGGTGTTGGGGATTTGTTTGACTGGTTGTGGGTGGGAGAGGGGTTGCGGGGGGGTTAGCTAAAATGTTTTAATTCAGGAAGCCAGAAGGCTCCTGTTACTCTTAAGAGGAAACTGCAGCAGGGTGAGCTAGCTCAAGGAAAGCTAGCAGCTAAAGAGCTAGCTACTTGCTAGCTGAGGTGTAGTCAAAAGCCAGCAGTAGCAGACAAAAGGGACAGACAAGCCAGGCTACTCAGGACTAAGAGCTGCAACCAGCAGCTAAGCAGGGTCAGGATGAACATACCTGTGATGGCTGCTGGGTCACCTGACTGGAAATGGGCAGGGCTTGGTGTGTATATATGCTCAGGGCCTGAGTCTACACAGCTATTCTGGCCCTAGAGGCTACAATGGAAGACGCTCCAAAGCAGGAGGGCCCAGGAAAGCTCCTAGCTGGTACTGGTGCCACTTTGCAGGGGAATGTGACCCAGGATAACATGTGACCCTGCTATTTACATTCAGACCCAGAGTGAGTTAGTTGGTGTTATAACTAAAGAGACTTATGCCTTTGTCATAATTTATACTGGTGGTTTGGGTTTGGGACTAGTAGGGGTGCTATGGAGGTCCCAATAGTGTCCTGAGCCCACCTAGGGCTGAGGGGCCCCTGGACATGGTGTGGGCTTGAGCCTTAAAAGGTGGCAGTCCAGGGAAGGGCTGCAGCTGAGCACAACTCCAGCCAGATATGGCCAGGGGCCCAGAGAGAGCCAAAGCAGGCTTGGAGCCGAGAGAAGGGCTGAGACGAGGCCAGAGAGCCCAGAATGAATGTAATCAAGGTAAGAGCTGGTGCCTAGAAGCCAGGTCCAGTACAGCGAGCCCAGGCTAGAAGGCCCAGCTAAAGAAAAGGGGTGGAGGCTGAGAAGGCCGAGGCTCTGACAAGGGATGCTGGGGTCTCTGATTTA